CAACAGATATTTAATTCCTAACACCTGCTGTGCTGGTGCACAGAGAGCTTCAAATTAACTATTCTAAGCCTTTCATTTGCATAATAGACGTTGCCGTCGCTAATTATAGGCCCGCGCAAATAGGTGGGAAATATCATTCAGTATTTAATCAGAGAGGCGGCAGAAGTGTGAGGATTATTATCATTATTTATTTCGCCAAATCCCCTAGTCTGCACTGTCAGTAGTGGGCTAAGTTGCAGGCAACGTGAAACAAATCAATGTGGCGTGTAAATTACACTGGGTGAACTATGATTCATTAGGCTACAAAGTAAAAACAACAGTGACACAGTAACCATAATAATTAGAAGAATCTTGTGGAGGTCTTACCTGCAGGGTTTTTATTTCAGCGATTCGCAGCGCGTCGCACTCCCAAAAAGAAGGAGATGGAGGGAAAAAGAAGAGAGGGGGTGCAGGTGGATGGGCTAAATAACGGGTCTATCGAGGCAACAAATAACTAAATAGAAGAGGATGAATAGAATTGATAGCAAATAAGAAACGCACAGGGGGCTGGAAATCTATTCTTGATTAAATTTAAATCAGCCAGTGATGGAAAAGGGTTGAACATGTATAAAAGGGCCAACACAGATCACGTCACTGAGCAGGGATTCGTCTACAGTGGATGTGGCCGCTGCTGCTTGTGCGTACTCGGGGAGAATGCATCTCCCCCTCCCCTCCGGTTGGACGAACGCTGCCTGTCTGCTCCGTTGTCTGTTTCTCCCACACTGAGCCCGACGCGAGCAACTTGCCGCATCCCACCAAAACTCTTCAGCGATGTGAACGATGACGGATACAATGTCAGAATCGAGACAAGACGATATCCACCACGGTGTGTTGTGCTACAAGACCATGACGACCCCTGCCCCCACCCTAACCCCTCGTCTCTCCTCTCTTTGTCATATTGAGGGTTTTGGTCTGGATGTGCTTATTGGAGCGTGTACTGTGCGCATTTAAGTAGAATATTATCCTGTTGACCAGATTGTCTGTCTGTGTTTTATTGCTGTCGATATTTTTTTGCTGGAGATCGCCAGTGGGGCACTTTTCCTCTGTGATGATGATGATGATGGTGATGAGGGCCACGCTGGTAGTTCTGGGAAAGGCAGCACATGGAGAGGGGGGGGGGGGGGTGGGGGGCTTCTATCATTAGAAGCAGAACTTCGAGCTGTCTCTCAATTGCGACATTTGACTAATTTTGCCACTGTTATTTGGCCAACAGACTATAGGAATGTGACTAGTTGTGATATAGACTAAATTATATCATCCACAGATCTATAAAAATGGACCCAGTTCTGGTCTTACACAACAGTTAGGATGCACAAAGCTGAGCGGATGATGACCTTCAACACAGTAGCTTTAAAATGGCTTTGCTACCCAGTTCATCCCTCTCCCTGTCTCACTGTAGGTCTCTCTCTCTCACACACGCACACACACAGAAAGGGGAGATGGAGAGAGCTAATACGAAGTGACAGGTCTTTCATGCAGTAATGGTGATGGTGAAAAGCGAGATCCATCCAACTCACACTGCCACATACTGAGACACACACACACACACAACTCTCTGTTCTCATGCTTTTTAGTTTTATTGACTTGTGGATACTTAATGTGTGACTTCTTAACCTGTCTAACACCTATCACTAGCTATCTATCACACACACACACACACACACACACATTAAGACATCGTAGCTCTTTATTTCTATAATTTACATCTTACACATCTTGACCAAAAGCTTGTATTTCTTTCTTATTGCACTTTGAAAGAAATACTGTATGTATTCAACATAGACATTCTGGTTTTGGAGACACAAATAGATTTAATTAAACCATTTTTATGACCATTTATTCCAGTCGTTTACTGCTACAGACTGTTTATAATAAACTAGATGCATACACCCATACAGCACCCATACAGATCAATGGTTGCCCTCAGGTTGTGGTAGCTTGTTGTGATTGAGTAGAGACCCTGGTTCAAACCCACTGGTTCACTGCAGTGCAGTTTGCATTCACCATCACAGAGAGCAGGCAGAAAAGAACTCTTTGTGTGATGTTAATGTAAGAGCATGCTGCGTTTTTATCACTCCATTTAAAGGTTTTATTAGAGGAAAGTGAGCAACAGATGTCAAAACATTCAAGAACAATGATCTTATTACAATTTATACTCCTTTATGTAACTCCAGATTATACTGAAGGATAAAAAAGTATTTGTTTGACTAATTCTTCATTTTTACAAAGATGGTCATGTGCAAGAAAAGTAGGCTTTATGCAGAAGCAAGAACACCCTTTTATATAACATGCAGAAGCAAAGACAAACACAGAGCTTGAGAAGGAAAAACAAAAAGGCACAGAGATGAAAAAGTTTAAGAGGCACAGAATGATTATCAAATAGTTTTACAAATTAACAAGGGACACTACTTATGTACAGGAGGATATAGAAAGTAGATGGTACATCTTGCTTTCCACAGTCACAAAGTTCAAGCATGGTTTGGCAGTAGTCTAAAGGTCAGTGAACTGAAGTTTAACTGGAAGATTCTCACTGGTTATCACTTACTAACTGGGAAAGTCAAGAAGAGGAATTACTTGGAATTACTTGGCTACTTCTGAGGTGCCCTTGAGCAAGGCACTTAATGCCAACTACAGAATCAACAACAGAAGGTTGTATTTTTTACCAGGCTTTGCCTCAAAACGAATTTGCACAACTCTATAAAGCAAAAGCAAGGCAGTGGTGAAACAAACATGCTCAACAAAACCCTGCGCAAAGGTGAAAATATGATGATATCTCAATGATCTTAATACAGATCATATTATCTGATTATTATATTAACAGATTATAAACAAGCAAACAAACTAAATAAATTAAATACCACAGTTTTTCCATGTAGGTCCTTTTCATGAAAATACTTAAATACGGAGAGCGTCTGGAAATGTACCTTACATATTATAAACCATCATAGTATTTTTGTGTGAATCAAACACACATTTATAACGTGGCAAAAATGGTTAAAACATCCTACAGTGTAGTGTAATACAGCCTGCTACATCCTGATATTTGGAGCAAATGCTACTCTGAAAGTTCATATATGGAAGAGCCTTTCATAGCCCACATAACATAACATAACATAACATAACATAACATAACATAACATAACATAACATAACATAACATCAGAAGGTTTAACTTGTCAGAGATAGGTAACACATTAGGAGCTGCAATGATTAGCTAATTAATCCATTTGCTCATGATCCTATATTACTAGGTTGTGTTTTAGCGTATTTTCACCCATTATCTGTTCATACACCAGCCTCCTCTCCTGTGCAAACAGTAGGAGTTATTGTCAAATACATTAATAAACACTTCTGCTTATAACTTAATTATTATGAATTGTAAACCATGTATTACATTATTCATATACTGCTTATAAAAGCTAAATAGAGAAGTGTTGCTATAAAATAAATAGATAAATAAAGATCAGCAGATGAAAATTAGCCATTAGCTTTAAACAAGAGAGCTCAGCATCACTTTTTCAACAAAACATTTTTTCCTACCTTGTAGAAACACATGGTGTGATGCACTCTCACTTTCAGCCACCAAACATGTTGAGATGTACTTAATGTGAAACTCAGAGGACCTGCATTTCAGTGGTGTTATCCTTTGAGCAGTAAGTGCAAATGTACAGTAGTTAATACTTTCATCATGTGAGCTTTCCATATATAAATAACAGTGAAGCTTTAAAAATATTTCTAGTTAGTCTCCAAAGCATGTACTTAGATCCATGTGCAGCTCAAAACTGCATGCTCCTGATTCATTGCAACTCAGAAAGCTTCAGTTCAACCCTTCTCTGCTGCACCATCAAGGAAGAAGGATGAGTGCGTGAATAGGTAATGAATTAGACCCAAGACCGATCCGGGGTCAGTGCAGGACAGCTGCCAGTAGAGGGCATCAAACCCCCTGCATCGGTATTGGGTGATTCCTCCATCAATCCAGCATGCACTGCACCCAAATGGGGTGCTGTTGGTTGTAATGTGCCTGTTGCAGAGTCTTCACCCAAAGCAGAATGAGTCAGGCATTTTCCTTATGTTACTTGTGCCACACCTTCATCCATAATTTACACCAGCTATATAGAAGCCCTCATTTGAAGTTTCATGTACAGGTTTGTACATGTTCATGTACAAGTTTGAAATTTGCATCTTAAAGTAAAATGCAAAACACAAAAGTGATTTCTCCTCGTGATATTTCAGAACATCACCCAGAAACAACATTTACATACAGTGTTCACATTTCAGAATTATTCAACTTTTAACTAATACATTTAATTAACAATATTATGATACTACTTTGAGAGTTATGAATCTGGATTGATGATGTCAGAAATTCAAAGAAGACAAGAATATATTCGACCACATTTACCTTTTAGTAAAAAGGTACATAGTCCCTGTATAGCTATGATTTATATACAGTTGAAGTCAGAAGTTTACAGACACCTTAGCCAAATAGATTTAAACTTTTCACGGCTCCTGACATTTAATCCTATAAAGATTCTGTCTGAGGTCAGTTATGATCACTACTTTATTTTAAGAATGTGAAAAGTCAAAGTAACAGGTGAACTGAGTTGGGTCTGGAGGCCTCCTGCGCACACATGCTTTCACTTTCAGTTCTGCCCACAAATGTTCTATTGGACTGAGGTCATGGCTTTGTGACTGCGATGAAGGTGGTACCTTCAGGCGTTTGGAAATTGCTCCCAAGGATAAACCAGACTTGTGGGGGTACAGTTTGTTTCTGATGTCTTGGCTGATTTCTTTTGATTTTCCCATGAAGTCAAACAAAGAGGTACTGAGTCTGAAGGTAGGCCTTACAATACATCCACAGCTGCACCTCCTATTGACTCAAATGATGTCAATTAACCAATCAGAAGCTTCTAAAGCCATGACATCATTTTCTAGAATTTTCCAAGCTGTTTAAAAGCCCAGTCGACTGAGTGTATGTAAACTTCTGACCTCCTGGAACTGTGATATAGTGAACAATCAGGGAAATAATCTGTCTGTAAACCACTGTTGGAAAAATTACCTGTGTGTCATGCATAAAATACTTCCTGACTGAATTACCAAAATGAGAGTTTGTTAACATGACATCTGTGGAGTGGTTAAAAACAAGTTTTAATGACTTCAACCTAAGCGCATGTAAACATCTGGCTTCAACTGTATGTGTAAAATTATGTGCATCCTAAGTCTTTCTGATCAGTGTTTTCCACTCTATATTTCTAGGTGTATACAAATTTCCTATCTTTGTCTTGCACTCCCTGCCTCTGTCCCGCCCCCCTGTGTTTCTTCTGTCACTCAACCTAAACTCTTTACCCTCTTTCCATCAAGATGAAGTGAATTCCTTGATTTATCGCCCCATCTTTGTCTATTCTTGTTTCTCTTTATCCATCACCATTTCTGTAAAATCACAACAATGGTATAAAATCTTCCGTTTCAATCTCCAAAATCTCCTTTGTCCTTTGTTCATATTGTTCCAAAGCTACATCCAAGTTCAGTATTTATTCTCATCCGCATCTAAGTGTACAGTACAGTATACCTGATTATGAGGAGTTCGTGTTTCTCCTGCCTCCTTAATGCTCCCTCTTCTTAACAAGGTGAGGCGCTCATGTGCATGTGTGTGTGATAATGAGGGGGAGGTACAGGTGATGGAGGCAGGGCCATAGGAAGAACCTGGCCTTGGGGATGTGAGGAGTGCAACCTGGGCAGGGTGTGTGTAGAGGGGTAGCCAGCAGACTGCTGGGGCATTTGGTAGCTCCCTGCAGAAGAAGAGCCAGATGGTGGGCTGCCTTGCCCACTGGTCTGGAGGTTGCTTTTTGGCTGCGTTGGGGGCGTCTGGTTGAGCTGGATGGAGATGTCGCTGGAGGCTTCAGAGGTGCTGCGGCCTCTCTTTGGCGGAGGCCAGGAGGATTCTGGGTGGAGATACTGGCCGCTGTAGTCACTGCTCTCGGACAGGCGGGGGTGGTAGAGTGCAGGATGGGGGCGATACATCTCTTCCTCAGCGTAACGTTTCATAAACAGATAGACAGACATCACCCCAGCCCCCTGAGCCAGCGAGAAGAGAAAGCAGTAAAGGATGAGGAAGGATCAGATGCAACAGGGAGAGAGGGATTTAATTACATAAATAAATGCAGTTCAGACGCAAATGAAACTTCAAAGAAACTGTCACAAGCGATATCTGGGGAAATTAGATTAAAAGTGACTGATAAAGGAGAAGTGAAATGTCTTGTACAAAGCAGAAAGATGTCATGCACTGTATGTGCTTTTGACTACAAGGAATTCAAGAGGGGATGAGCTGTTTTACAGTCATATAAAAGAGATTTAAGGTAAAAGGGAGTCGACAAGATAGTGGAGGGAAAAAGATGGGGAGAAAAGAGAGGAGACAGGGAGGATGGAGGTTAGTTCGCAATGAATTGTCCACTGCAGCACATTAAGAGCAATGCTGCTGATGATGGGAAAGAGGGAGAAGGAAAGGGGGGAGGGGAAAGGGAGTAAAGGAACAGAGCATGTGTGACACTGCACCAGGAACACACACAGGCACACACAAACCCTGCAGTTCTGCATCATAACCACTGATACCTGACATTATTTCCAGATATTAATTATATAACCTGCCTGCTAAAGTAACATGCAATGAATGAATAAATATCACTTTTGGATTTTTCCCATCAGGGGTCGCCACAGCGACGATTTGCATGTTGACATTTGGCACGTGTTTTACGCCAGATGCCCTTCCTGACGCAACCCTGACTCAAGCTCGGGCTGCAGCGGTGAGGGCGCAGCACCCCAACCACTGGTCTGTCAGGGAACCCCACTAACTCAACATGTAATACTCCAGGAAAATTCTGTCACTGCCAAAGAAATGAAAATATATATCTTGCATGCAGCATATGTGTGCAAACAGTCATACAAACATGCTTTGTCTTTTTCTTTTCCATATGTTTCTCCCTAAGGCACACACAGAGCCAACGCTGACCTCTTTGAGTAAGAAGGAAGAGGCAGCAAAGGCAAAAGACCAGCCATAGTGGTAGTGGAAGAATTGCTCAGGCTCCCTGGGCCGGTTCATCACCTCATCATTTATACTGGAGATGTAGAGCACCAGGCCCACCACCAGACTGAGACCTGCACACAGGAATTTAACAATGACAGAGAATCAGAGAGAGGAAGACAGTCAGATACAAGAAAAAGGTCATTGTATAGTAATGACAGCTGCACCAGTGTAGCATGGGTTTAAGAGACAGACAAAAAGATGGAATGTGGATTAACCATGCCAACCAATTAGCTTGGAAAATGCTAACATTAATAAAGTGATGGGACCAGACAGACAGAGCAGGCATGGATGTGAATCAATCATAATGGCAGATAAGGAGATAATGACTAATGACCTCTGAACTGAAAATATTTCACTTATGTTTTGCTTCATACTGTAGAATACATCTTGCAAATACATCTTAAAAGAGGGAAAAGTGGCTAAAAGAAAATACTTCTTGCTAAAGAAATGAGCATCTATGCACATTTTCTGCAACATTCTGGAGAAAAATAACTGTGACACATTTGTAGAGGCAGTTGGATGACTGTACTCTAATGCTGGTCTAGTGTGTAATTACATTATTCATTTGTTTGAAGGATACATCATTTCCACCTGGATAATGTTCAGTGGCATTTTTAGCTGTCCTAACCCTGTGTGATTAGGTTTAGGTAAAAAACAAAAGAGCACTTTGGTTCAGGTTTAAGGAGAGAGGCGACATGCAGCATGCACTGCAAACTTCAATGTATTAATGGACTCAGTATAAACTGAAAGAATGGCCCTTTTCATTCAGAAACAACACATAAAATATGAATCCCCCATTCATCCAGGAACACCCACATGCTCTCAACACTGACTTAAAAATGTTACATTTATAAGACACAACATATGGCTAATGTCAGGGAATCAACATCAAATGAAAAGTGCATGTTGTAGGCTGCAAATGAATATTTGTAGCTTTCCCTGCAATATTCAAATGCACCACAGGGCTGTTAAGTGCTAATGTCCTTTGCGTAAACAGTTATTTTAAGAGGTTGTGTTGTCAATTTAAAGTTGAAATGCATAGAAAATGCAAAAAAAAAAAAAAAGAAAAGAAACCATGCTACTGTCATTCATGGAGGGGAAGAACACCTTTATCTAAATAAGTAACACCATAAAACTGAGAGAAATGTGATTGACATCAGATGAAGGAAAGGAGGTGTGTTGTTTGTAAGACAAAAATAAGGGACAAAGTTTAGGTAAGTAAATAAGCAAGGGGCAAGATGATGCAACATCAACCTGCAACAAAATCTGAACAGGGAGGAGAAGGTGTGGGTGAGTAGGAAAGGCAGGAGGAAGGCAGTGTTTAGAGAGGGACAGAGGTTTAGTGCAGCAGAATGTCCAACTGCTGAAAAGCAATTTGACACACTTGCCCCTTTTTATCACCCTATTATCAGAACACCTCATAAAGTAAAATACTGTGACACTTCCAACACAAGTTATAGACATTACAATAACCCTGATTACATAACACCACTTATTCTGCAAGACCCTTTATCAGCAAGTGCCTACTATGGCAAGTTGGAGCTGTCATACTGTTCCTCCGAGCTCTGCTGCTCCTCAGAGTGAACCAGCCTTCTGAGAACAGGAGCTCCAGTTTGGCTCCTGATGGTTGTTACTCCACACACTGAGCACAAGAAAAAGAAGCATTGCAGCCACCTGCTGTTCAAGGACGTTAACTACACTAATGCAGAAAATCCAGAGGCCAAACCTAGTTAAGATTTTTAAGGAATATTGCATGCTTTTCTGGATTTTTCATATGCGTAGTTCCAAAGTCATGTTTTTGCCATTATATTTTATAAGGAAACTCAAGGGAAACCTGGTCCTGACTGTGAAATCATTTTTAATTTCAAAGTAGAAAAATGTCACGCTGTGTGAGACCTGAAAACTAATCCCATCACCCTTCCTGATGACAGCCTACACACCTACATCACAGAATAAAAGGGAGGGAGGGGGTGTGGGTGAGTAGGAAAGGAACAAATAAAGCCATGAAGGAGAGAATGCATATGTAATGCAGAACAAACCAGGCAGCAATAATCAAGCACAGAGTGAGGGAATGGTGACAGCAGGACATGAGTAATGAGCCCCACCTGAGAGGATGAAGAAGATTCCCGACACAAAGGCCAGGATGGTGCGCTGAGGCCGGATGTGTCCGATGTTACTGATAACAAAGGCAGTGAAGACAAAGAGCAGCGACACCATCGGGAAGGGTGTGGCTGTACGCACCATCTCTGTAGGAGGACAGGTCACAGTATTAAACAAAGCTGACCTGTCCTGATGTCTCTGGACATTATTAACTGTAAAATCCCTGTGTAAAGTTTGCACAGCTATGTGGTGATGTCTGGCTGCTACTTCTGCCTCTAAAGTGAAACAGTGGTGTGTGTTTTACAGATATGAACAAATCTGAACCATTTTTATTTAGAGTAAAAATGTGTAACTGGTTACCAACAGTTTGTTACTAAAAAAGTACAAAATGAAAAATGATTTCTTCTCAAATGATGTTCAAATGTCAATACCCATAATCAACCACTGGGGGACTCTGCAGTTACAACTGCAGACTCTCACACAGTCGATGAGGTTAATATCATTGCTCTGTTTTATGTTTTATAATGTGTCCTTACTGAGGATGTTTGCAGTGTTTTCAGTGGTGATCTCTATATCGGGTTCAGTGAAGTACTCCGATGCAACACATCTCCCATTTTCTGACCCTGTGAGAAAATGAGAAGACAAGAAAAAAAAAGAAAACGTTGGGGCTTGCATTCAGGGTTAAAGTCAATTATGCATTAAGAAACAAAAGCAAAACAAAACAAAAAAATTGTGTTCTGTGACAGCCATTATTCCAGAGGCCAGAAGCTCACTATCTCTCTTTTGACCACTTCTGCTCTTTCACTCTGCTACTTTATTCTACCTCTTTCTCAGTATGTTGTGCTATGATGATGTGGACGTATGCCAACATATTTGGATGTGTGTTAGTGTCTCAATATGTGCACATCTTTATTTTTGAATGTCAAGATTTAAACATGTTGTCACATCTTCCTACCAGCCACAAAGCAAACTCTCCAGAGGCCTGAATGCAGCTCCATCTTCACCTCCATGCTTTGGTTCTGCTGCAGGATGATGCCCTCCACCATGATCAGCCAGTAGTCTGTGGACACAGCCACCCCCACCAGCAGCAGCCCACAGGCTCCAAACACAGTGGACAGGATGGTCAATGCACGACTGCTACACGAACTCATCTGGACGGCAGACAGAAGGAAGGAAGGAAGGAGTGGTGTTAGAGTAGAACAGGAAATACATGTCGAAACCGCAGAAACAAACATTCAGGTACATTTGGAAGAGGCCATGAGCAAGGTCATTAAAAACACTGAGACAGACATGTTGTGTGCACATACAAACTGTTACTGTCCTGTCTCAAATTGTTATTGCTAAAGATGAGTTAGTGACACATCTAATGGCATCCGATTTTATTAAAGGTCAAAGAGGAGCTAAAGCACCAGATGACAACTTCATAGTAAACCACTGAATTTAGGCAAATGCTAAAGGATAGATGGTAGCATCCTGCACAGATCAGAAAGGGGAGGAGAGGTCCTCTGTGACTCACGCATGGTCTTTCTGTGACTTAGTTCTGGTTAACTGGAGAGACTTCGCTGAAAACCCTTTGCGTGAGTGGTTGTACAGCCACTAGCCTAGGCTTAATTCAGACCGATGTTCACTATCAACAGTTTGACAAGTAAAGGATAATATATGATGGAGTGTGATACAGTGATTTGACAAGTAAAGGATAATATATGATGAAGTACGATACAGTGCATTATGCGGTACACTGGAAGTACCATTACTGTAAAGCAGCTGATATCATTTCACCTTATATTGCCCACAGTGAAAAGGCAGTTACAGTTTTAGTTCACTTATTTTCAGACAGTTGTATCTGAGTATGATGGACTCTTTTTTTGTGCAGCCTGCTAAGAGGTACACAACACATTTCCATATATTGTATAAAACCTACTGCAGTTGTAACACTGTTTTACAAAATGAATTTTGCTAAGTTTCCAATGTGTACACACCTGATGGTCATTTAATTAGGCACTGTAGGAACACCTTTTATTCTTTCAATTCTCATAATGACTTGATAGCATTTCCCACTGGCTGCAGATTTTTTTTTAATGTTGCTCACATGCTTTGACTTTCACACTGCATCTCACAGACTATGCAGGTCATTATGGTACAATGACGCTGCTTGAAATGAAATGTGACACAGGTGTAGCTAAACCCAGGTGTAGCTATGAAGCAATGTACCTGCTTAGCAGCAAAGTCTAGATACAAAGTAACATTTCCACTATCCTCACAAATACTGTGCTATCTACTACTTGAACTGTGCACACAACGTAGTAAGTTTGACTTTTGCTGTCATCAAAAACTGATTTTTGTTGTAGAAGGAAATGTTTTTCACTTTTCACTTTTTTTGGCGATCATATAAAAACTCAGGCTTCATAGTTGCTGACAGAAGTAAAATCAGGCATGTACCATCTGCTGCTGTAACACAGCTGCTTCAAAGTTTGAAAAGATGTGTGTTTGAGCTTTCCTTGGGCATATCATTGTTGTGCTGAGCTGTTATTTGTCTACCCGTGGCTTGCCAGTTTGACTGTCAGTCTCCACAGTACTACAGCAGACCAATTCCTTTTTGTGTTGCTCCATTCTCTATAAATCCTGACGTGTTAGGGGCACAAAAATCACAGGTCAAATTTTCCGTGTTGGAGAGTTCCTAGTTACACATAACTAATTACTGTAACTAAATTACCAAATAAATATAATTGTAATCAGTTGCAGTTACTGAGAAAAGTATGTAACTAAACTACAGTTTTATAAATGTTGATTACAAACAGGTTTCATCTGAATATGTTCTTTTAGGTAAATAATGTAGATATTACTCATTCTCTTTCTTCAAATCTATTCGCTGTGCAGGAATTCCTTCTTTTGGCATATTTCTGGAAAATGTGAGTTGGAAAAACAAATTTAAGTGTAACACCATCATGGACAGGACGGCTAACATGGAGCTGTCTCTACATCTAGACAGGCTCCATTTACAGTATATGGCAGCAATGCATTCAATTTTGAAACTTGCTTTTGATTGGATTTCCTGTTTGACTTTGCACCACCTGTCATCTGTCAATCAAATCATCATATATTGCTCTAAGCAAACTGAGTCTGCCACGCCTGGCTGCGACGAGCAGTAATCACCAAGGTGGGTGGTCATGTTGTCGGACAAGGATGCTTTTCAGTGCTGGAAATGTAACTGTATTTTTCTTCTGAAATCAGAAAAGGGTTTTGCTTGGTGCCTGTTCAGTAGGCTACATATTTCAACAGTAACTGAACTTATGATGACGAACCTTTAAAGTTAAAGGCTAAAGTAAATTAAAGTTTGACAGTAATACGTTTTGAGTACTGCTGTGAGGTTTACACTGCCTGGTTTAAATTCAGCTTTACTACCCAGTTGAAAAGTAATCAAATGTAATAAGTTACAATACTTTGATGAAGTAATTAAAATTGATACATTACTTATTACATAATCTGTAAGCTATTACATTTCTTACATTTCAAAGGTAACCTTTCCAACACTGTAAACATTCAAAGCCACATAATTAACATATTTTTTTATCAGTCTAACACTCAAACAAACAAAATACGTGTAACCTATCTGTGACCTATCACTGCCTTGTGAAGTCAGCTATTGGTGTAAAAATGTATAGAACTATAATTACAATGACTAATTCATGAAACACCATTTATCAGACACTTAAGAAGACTTTGACAACAGAAAATGTTTTTGAAGAGTTTTTGAAGAGCAGAGTTACAACAGAAACACTATCTCATCTGGATAGCCATTATGCAAGACGTGACCATGGTAGGAGTAACTTCAATTTCTCTGCACCTGCAGGAATGAGCAGAACTTCTTTACAGTGAGGCACAAGCATGATGTGTAAGAGCAGGCTGGCTGGTGGTAAGGAAAGAAACCACCAGAGAAATGGCCAGATTGGACACGTTAAGGCTGAAAGAAGCTACTGAAGTACATAGTGAACAGCTAAAAGGACTGATAGATGTGAAAAGTACAACTAACTACTAAAAAAATCGGGCTGGACAAACAGCTGTAAAACAACAAAAGCAGTCACGGCAGTCAAAAGACAAAGTTACAGAACTTTATCATCACAACAGTGTCATTGAAAACTGAGAGACAAGAGCATAACTGTAGTGTTTTATCGGTTTCTTCTTTATTCAGAGATTTCAAACCACCCAGTAAGCCCAGAAGTGGGAGAAGATATAAAGATGACCAGGGAGCAGAGACAAGTGGGACTCAGGGAGGAACAGTCACACCTTCCAGCAGCTGGAGGATGTGCCAAAGTGGTCATGAATAAGTGCAAAGCAGTGGGAATTGCAACGTTGCAGAAATGAGTGGATGTGCCTGCATGGCTCTGCCTGATTTGTTCAGCACCACAGACAGTTCCTCCATCTCTCTCTTAGACTGCCAGTCTATCAGAAAACACAGTCCAATCTGAATCTGTTTATAATGGATTTGGACAAAATGAAGGAAACAAATGAACCTTTTCTCTACCCATGTATTGCGCTCTTATCATCCCAAAAAATCCACTAAAGAGCTGAAAAAGCCATTGTAAACGTGAGACTGAGATTGAGTGAAAAAGAAATTCAGCTTCCCTGCTAGAGTTGTGATAACGATCTCATTTTAGAGCTGTGAGACAGCCCCTCAGCTCCCTCACCCAGAAAGTAATGAGCCAGTTCAATTGGTTAGATAGGAGTCACGGGGGGACAAAAGGTTTAATTCTCTCTAATCTGTCACAATCTATAGAGTGACATCACCTCTAGCATCTCAGGAAAAAGAGACACCAATAGAAAGAGGGTGTGATGGATAGAAGGGGAGGATATGTAGATGTGCTGCTGAAAATATCCAAGCAAAGAAAGCAGCAAAAAGAGGACAGACCTGAGCCTGAAACTACAGTTTGTAGAGAGGCTTTGAAGCAGGAACAACAGGAGGATATGGAGCAGCTACTGTATACCATAGGTTCACAGAGAAAGACCTGGCCCCACCAAAAATGGGAAGGAGTACGCACAATTAGGATGCGACTACACCTATGCTAAACTAACCAACCGACTGTATTCCCTTAAAATCTGCCTGAGAAGGCCGATGAAATCAGTCCTTAGAGAATAACTGACTTCATAACGACTAAACGAAGGGATCGTGACTCAATGGGTGGGTTTACTCATGGTTTCTCAAAGCATTTCAGCTGCGCAACCACACACAAAACTGGCACCTGGATAGTTAAACATTCGCTGTTTATTTTCTATTAACTACGTGTATATTAAACGTGATCATTACCCGAATAGAGGACTGAATGAGGCAGTGATGTGCGCATAATGATGCCACCCCCCCAGCCTGTCACACACACTCACACGCGGAGTTTGGAGATGATAAACACAAAACAGAGAACACGTGAGCGACTCACACAAAATATGGAATGAAATGATAAGACAAAGAGCAGCTTAACGACTTTTTGGTTAACATTTAAATGAGATTTTCTGTGCGCTCTCATGTAGATAAGCGTCTGTCATTACGCCAACGCGACATACTCTTTTCAGTGCTGTCATCACACTCGTACATTAACATGACTTAAGTCAGTCTGAAAAAGGCACCGTCATCACAATCGCTGCTAAAAAACACACAAGTGTAGTTATTCAAAACGAAAATACTTACCTTGCCAACAAGAGTCGTGCGCACACGTCAGTAGCCAAGACACCTCACACCAGGGAGGCTTGTTGGATTTTGGTATTTGGTCTCTTTCTGCCTCTGTCGCTTTCCCTCCTCTCTCTCTTTCTCTCTCTCACCCTTCCTTTTATGAGTTTTTTCCCTTAAGCCCCCCTACCCATCCTCTCAATCCTTCACTCTCTCTTTCACTCAATCCGAACAAGGCTCTGCGGTGGATCGATTCAGCAAGCTACAAAAGAGACACAGGCTGCAGCGTGAGCTAGAGAAGTGTTGGGGGAGAGACAGAGAGAGAGAGGAGGGGGGTCATGTTAAACTACTACAGCTCATCAAACTGTATATCCTTTTGAAATGATATTTGTTCTATATTTCTTTTTTATTATAGTCTGAAATTAGTTAATGTAATTTATCATATAGTGTATCAAACATATTTTCTTTCTTCACCTATTTTATTGGTTTACATTACATTTACATTCATCATTTTTATTTCTTCAGTACATTGGTCTTAAAAGTTTGACCTTTTACAGTCTTATTACAGTCTTTTATCATCTTGTCAGTCATCATCAAATTACACAAAACATATTTATATTCTTTACATTTTTGATTTACTTCACTTGCAGTGAAATTTATGCAGTGTACTTTGGCAGCACAGTACCTAATTATGATATATGACCATAATGTAAAATTCAGTTTGAATAAAGTCCAAAGATGCCAAAAAAAAAAGAGAAAGAGATGAGACAATGAATTGGAGTTGAACAAGGGTACAAACTTAAGTCCAAATTACAGAAAACTACCATATAAATTTACAAGCAAAAGTAGAAAACACAGTAGACCACCTCTCCACTGGGATTTATGCCCATAGTATGAGTACAGTTAGAAAGCTCTCTCTCCCTCTCCTCCTCTTCCTCTTCCCCCTCCTATGGTCCATGTCCCTTGCTCTATTTTTAGCTGGCTGGTGGAAGAATCCTATATTTTTAGAAACAATATCAATAGTGCAGCACACACTGACCTCAGGGCATGAGAGAGAGGAGGGGGCGAGAATGACATGTTAAGATGAGGTAAAAACAGAAGAGGGATAGAGAAAAAGGAGGCAGCAGTGGAGAAGAGGGATGATATCGTGTCACAGTGACACATGACTGATGGACTGCACGAACAACTCGCAACGAGTGCAGAAGGTTCAGTTACACAAAGGCAGATACTCTCAGGGTTGACGCAAAAGTTGAGGGGAGGAATTTTTGAGTCAAGGAGTCACAAGTGAACACATAGTATGGTCTACCTCATGCTAAAACTATCTTGCCAGAAAAGTGTTGTTGCATGTTAAATTACTAAAGAGCCTCATCTGCCACTTAAAAAAGACATCTAGATTATTTTTTTCATGACAGAAATCAATATGAAACTCATTAAAATATAAAGGCCACACATCTTCACATTAGTTTCTGATATATAGCAACACAAAGAACACGTCTCCTCCCCAAAAGCAGGATATTTCACAGTACAGTTTTATATTAATTTTAATTTCTCAAATTATAAGATGCACACTACTGTAGGTTTATCTGGGCTTATCCTTCTCTACATTCCCATCTCATTTTCACTGACTGAACAGAATTAGTATTCAGCACAGAGAATATAAACTGTAAACAGATAACATTGATGAAGAGGCCAGGACAAGACAAGATACTCATATCAGCCGACAACAGTGGTGAGGTATTTCAAAGAGAACAAATTCTGACACAGTAAAGCATTTACAGTGCAGCACTGACAGAAAAAACAAGCAGAGAGGAAGAGAGATGGAGGGCAGATAGAGAAGAAGAGAGCGAGGTAGAGAGGCAGACAAAAAGCTGATTAAATTTTAATATGAAGGTCAACTTGTTATAAATCAGATCTCTACAGGCATGTTTGTTCCATCATGAGGCTGGAGGGGTTAAAGGGAGGAAGGGAGGTGGGTAGGGCAGAAAAGGAGGGGGAGAGGCGGCTTCCAAGGAGGAGGGAGTGAAGGTGCCTAAGAGGTAGTTTTGCTGGTTCGACAACTATGGTACCACTGTAAAACGAGGGGTCAGCATCTCCTCCGTGCGTGGAAGAGCGCGTCAGGGCATGCACATGCTTGAGATCGCACTTTTGAGCGTGAGTATGTGTGAATGTGAAGGAGAGGGAGTGAGCGTGACAGAAAGGCGGGGGGAGAAGACAACACTGTGCATGTTTATTTCTCGGCAGCTTTGCAACAAATATCACAGAATGAAACACTTCATTGTTCCTGTTTTATGTCTTCACAGTTTATTTCAGTTTTCCTTTTCCAGCACATAAAAACAGAAGTTAACTGACAGATGCATACATTATCTGTTGTATTACTGACTGTAACATTTGCCATATCTATAGTATTGAAGTAGACTGTGTTGTGACATTTGCCCTTAAGTGAAATTGAGATAAAATAGATGTGATTACCTTTATGATTACACAGAATGTTAAAAAAAATAAACAAATCATAAAGATGCTCCATAGAAAATCAATCAAATTCCTGTGCAATGACAAGCTGTCTGTCAGATAAGAACACGGAAATGGGTTTGTTAAACTGTTGTGTTTGCAGCCACCTGCTCTGCTCAGATAATGTTTAATGACAGCACTGCTCTTACTTTTCCATGTATTGAACAGGCCCAGTGAGCCTCACTTTTAATTACACCCTAATCAATTGCTGCGAGTCATATCATTACACAGCAAACAACTTTATGGTATAGACCACTACAGTAATAAAGTACCTGTATATAAACATTATTACAAGCCACAGTTTTCAAAGCTGCAGATAAATGTTTCAGTGCAACTGCAGGATGTGAAAGGAGAGCATGCAAGGCATCATTGCACAGTTTGCACAGGAGTAATAGGGGAAAAAAGGTAAAACCAATTTGTGAGTTTATATGATGCAGCCCAAATAGGGGCAGTACTGTAATTCCTTGGGTAGAGTGGGCCTGGGCTGGGTAGTGGGTGGCTCGAAGGCAAATATGCACAACACAGGTTGATTGTAATTAAATTAATAGGAAAAGTCTTAATTAAATCAGTAAAGTTAAACAGATACAATGTATCTGATATTATAGTATTAGTGAAAACTACTCAAAATAATTGACTGCATGCAGAGAGCATTTATCAGGCTCATACTAGAGAACACCTACATCAAGTGAAGACAGTTCAATGGCAATCTGTAATACTGGTATTATTTCCAATGCTGCAACACATTCTGTGACGAGCAAGTTAAAATACAAACTTCAGAGAGAGTACGTGAATAAAAAGGTGTCTTGGCATTTTTATGTAAACGTCAGAATTTGGTTAAGAGATGCATCTTTAATACTCACAGCTAGTTCTCATGTTCATGTTCTCTGGTATAAAACTACGATTGGAGGGCAGTTGGGGTGCCCTTGAAGGGGTTGTGGGAATGAGACTGGGGACCATTTTCAAACAGTGGTGAGAAGCGAGGGGGAAAAGTTTGGGTTGAAAAAGGAGAAGCCTTGGAAGTCTTCCTGGTTAATGACGGCTAGTACATCAGGGTCAGAGGGAGTCAGCACTGATGGAGCCGCAGTGAAGAACTTGTCAAAGTTTTCAGCTTTTCTCCCACCCTGATGAAAAAGAAGAAGGCATGTACAACACACAAGGTTAAGATTAGGATGCATATACACACAGTGATCAAGGGTGATTGTATCCCCGTTAAACTTTCCTTCTTCAAAAAAGCACAACATAGGAACAGTTACACTGTAAAGGAATCCACCTCCGTATATCTTTTCCTCACCCATAGCCCCCTTTTCTATTTCCTGCTGTAAGAAGAAAGCTGCTCACGTCTCTTTTTCTGCTTCTTAGCAGTGGATGACAGACTTTGTGCTGGATGATATGAATCTCATTTGGCTAATGGGCCTGGCCTCTAACCCCTGTGCATACTCACCTCACTCAAGGCACACCTCCCCACTGGCCAGGAGGGACGCAGACTGGTGTGTGGCAGGCTAATGATGACATACATTTGCATATGGGAGGAGCAGACAGCCCCCTCAGGTCAGAGGGTTCTGTCTGTTATGAGTGAACTGTCTGTTCCTGAATGCTCAGACACCAAAATAGCAAAGGTGATGAAAGACAAAAAAGAGAGATGAATGGGCAAGAGGGAGAGAAGGACAGGGCTGTTTTAAGAAGAGGACAAGAGAGGATGTAATGCCAAATCAGTGCAGATGGCTGAGAGAGGAAGCATGAAGGGAAATGAGGGAAAGCATTGGAGTTTGAAAAAAAGGAGACAGATAGTAGAAAGTGACAGCTTCAGTTCCCTAAGTGTCCTCAGAGAGACAGAGACAACAAAGACAGGAAGAAGAAAGAAAGAGGGAGTACAGAGGAGAATGGCTAGAAAGAAAGAGAGGAGGATTAAAGAGTTTGTAATCCATTTCAACGTTCAACTGACAGTTCTGGGTTTGAAGGGCGGCTGGATCTCCAGTTTCTCCAGACGGTCCCAGTCAATCCAGTGGAAAAACGGATGCTCCTTGATATCTCTCTCTGCATCCTCACCTCCACCCAGACGCTTGACCGGGTTCTTTGTCAGGAGCTGAGTGAAATAAAAGGATGAAAAAGTGTGAAAGAGAAAAGAAAATCATGGTTGTAATTGTGACATACAGTGGCTTTTAAAAGCATTTTCTTTTCTTTCATCTTATTTGTTTAAATATGCATTTACCTTGATTGTGTGTGTAATCTAAAGGAATAGTTTTCTTTGTAAAGATATGTGTTTGCTTTCTTGCCAGGAGATAAATGAAATAATTATTACTGGTCTTATGTGAAACTGAATTTGAGCCAGCAGTTGGAAAAGCTCAGCATAAAGACTGGAAACAGGGGGGAACAGCCACCCTGTCTTAGTCCACAGGTAACAAAATCTACCAGCACCTCTCATACCCATTCATTCACATGTGTCAATCTGAAGAACAGCAATGTAAAAATGACAGAGAGAGGCTAGCTGTCTCCCCCTGTCTCCAGTCCTTATGCTGAGCTAAACTAACACATCACATTCATCAGACACTTTTGAGAGTGGTGTCAATCTTCTCATGTACAGTATGTCAATGCAAAAAGAAAGAGGTATACATTTTTAAGTAGTCAGCAGCATGCATGATAAAGTTTTGCTATATTTAAAAATATTATTTTGATATATTTTTAACAATTTAGCATGAAGTTTATTTCATTTTTCCGATAATAATATATTGCATGGGTCCAATCAACTATATGTGTAAGTGGAAAACAAAAGTGACTCACTCCCTTGCAGATAGCAACAGCTTCACGAGAGAGACTTTTTGGGTATGAGACACTCTGCTCCATGATGGACTGAAACAGCTCCTCCTCATCAATACCATCAAATGGTGGCTAGAGGGAAAAGGCAGAGAAACTGAAGTTCTTTAGAAACTCTTTGAAGTGATTACACGGCACAAGTACTGGGGGCTCAAGTATCTGTGCACATGGATGTATTATCAGGCTAAACTCAGTGTTACCTGTCCTGCCAGCATTTCATATAACAGTACCCCATAAGACCACCAGTCCACTGCTTTATTATAGGGTTGATATGCCACAATCTGAAAAAGGTTGGAGAAAAAAGGAGACGTGATAAAGAAGAAAGGCAGTCAGAAATGAGGAAGGCAAAAAAAGACAAGGACTGTAACAGTGGGCTGCAGCTGCAATGACAGATGGAGTGAAATCCCGGAAAGAGAGGAAGAGGGAAAATATGGCACTGGGGAGGGTAAATGTATGAATGAGCTTAGAAATAATTAACACATGGCTTTGGATTTGCATGTTTGTGTTTGTCTGTGTGCTGATGTCTACGGTATGTGTGTTTGTTTGTCCCCAGTGTATGTGTATGTGTGTATGTGTGTGTGTGTGCGGCATATGAGGGAAGAATTCCCAGTCCCTGGGGAAATAAATTGCACCTCTTCCAAAATGGCAGATGTAGACGAATCAGTGGGTCTTTACATAAGAAAGTCATACCCAGGGGTACCATAGCAAGGTTTACAATATCAGATACATGCTCAACAGTTACATCCTCTTTCTCTCTCTACTGTCTACAAACCAAACAAGCTGGGCATCTTCACTCTTAATCTGAATTAATTTGTTTATGATTACTTCACCCAGAAATGCACACACACATATTTCAAACCATTTGTAAGGCAAACATTATACAGGCATGCAATTCTAATATCTTACACATCAAAAGGGTGTCAGGCAAAAGCACCTCCACCACTTGTAGCATTTCAGCACAACTGATATTTATATGGACATTAAATAGATGCTTTTGAGATGTCACACTTATTTACTTTGAAAAACAGATTAAAAGTTTTCAAGTTTGCCTTAAAACAATAATCAGGTGTCCACATGAACAGTGAAACTGGTTAAGATTGCAACAAAACACATCATACCGGCCATTAAGAGATGTTTTCCTGATATGCTTCTAAAATAAGAGATGGGGACCAAATCTGCAGGCCTCTTTCTTAACTTTAGCCAAAGCTAATAGGAGACACTAGCAGTCTGAGTCAAAATAATCTAGGGATATCATCCAGGGTCTTATTAGTACTAAAGTGAATCTTCATCTTACTATCCCCTCACTGCAGCAGCACAGAAACTATTTGGACTGCATTTTTACACAGAGCAAAGACTGTGGATTCCCCCATCACTTACACCGGGAGCTTGTTAGATGGGGACCTCTTTAAAATATAAACAGAAGAAACTGTCACATCAATTGAAAACTGTTCCAGTGTACATACACAAAACCTGAATATTGTTTAAGACAGATCTTTTAAATTGAACTTGTTCATTATATTAAGTAATGTTCTCACTGCACAAGCACACACTGCTGCTAAGTGAATCATGTGAAGTTAATTATTCAAAACTGCTGACAAGATCAGAGAGGTCAGAGAAGACGAGAGGAGCTGTAGCAAAGGCACTTGCTGTCTCCCTGCAATGTAAAACAGGTCAAGCAAAGGAAGATGGGTGAAACAAGGGGAAATGAGGGACATAAGGAACACATGAGGGAGGTTTCTGGAGTGAGGGGGTCAGAGTACCTCAGGGGCGATGTAGTCAGGGGTGCCACAGAAGGTGCGCGTGGTGTCGCCCTCAAATATCCCCTCCCTGCACATCCCAAAGTCGGCTATCTTTATGTGGCCCTCACAGTCAAGCAGCACATTATCCAGCTTTAGATCCCTGAGAAAGGGGATCACACAGGAATGAATCATTTTGATAAATAATATCTTTATAACAGTCATTAGCTACAAAAGACATGATAAATTTGTGTGATGTCTGCATGCTACACTGCAGGGGAGTGTCACAGACAAACCAGGCCATGTTAGATGAGCAGCTCACTTTTTTACCTGTAGATGATGCCTTTGCTGTGGAGGAAGAAGAGGCCGACAGCTACCTCTGCCGCATAAAACCTGGACGGAGAGAGGAGGGGGCGGAGGCGCTCACAACCGGTTGCTTTCTTTTTCCTAAGATTGACCATGGTCTTCAGCTAATTTGAAAATAGGGAATGGAGCTTGAGAGGCTGATGAAAGGGACAGTAACCATTCAGATGAAAGGGAGAAAGATGAAGAGGGAGCTGGAACTGAGCAATGAGGAAAAAATTATTTTCAGATGATTGATCAAAGATTATTGATTAGATCAACAGCCAGGTGAGAAAAAATGTAGATGAAAAATAAGATTATAATTCAGGGAAAAGACAAGAGAGCTGGTACTTGAGTTGATGACGAACAAAGCTAAAAGACAAATGTGTATGTAGAAGAATAGAGAGCAAAGGAAATGAGGTTCTGTAGATGAGAACTGTGATCAAATGTGAAAGAAAGGAGCTTTTTAACTACATACGCTGCGTGAGCCTCTTTGAATTTGCCAACTATTTGAATGTGAAACATCAGGTCTCCTCCATTGACATATTCCATCACATAATACAGACGGTCCTGCCGAAACAAAACATACACATCACACACACACACACACACACACCCATACACATTCTCTATACATAATCACATCTTGTCCAAATTAAAAAGCACTTGGCTAAAGCCCCTCCTCCAGGACCAAGGACCTTGTTAGAGAAAGCTAATTATTTCATATATTAATCGAAATTCTCAGCCAACCTGGACTGAAACAACTCCTGGGAGGACTATGCAGCCAAAATGTCAGGCAGGTTTATGGACAATTTAATGAAAGTTATGTGGTTCATTTGAGACCTCATGTACCTTCTGCACACACAGATATACACACCTCGGTCTGGAAGGCACAGTAGAGCGATGTGAGGAAGTGTGGGCGAGAGGAGAGGGCCAGGACCCTCCGCTCCACCAGAGCGCTCTCCGTGTCCTCATCCTGGAAGAGCACATCTTTCTTCAACACTTTCACTGCGAACAGACGCTCGCTGCCTCGCTCTTCTGCCAGTAGCACCTGTACAGAAAGAAGGAAAGAGGGTGGAATGTTGCTGTAAGGAGACATGATCCATCCCAGAAATGTTGAAGAAGCTACTGTATCTTTAAACTGCTGAGATATATAAATAAACAAGATGTTTATTTGTATGAACTACACCAAATTCCACTACACTACATTATATTCAGCTTTTCAAAGTTCTCATACAATTATTGCAGCAGCAGTCTGTACATCAAACTAGGCCTATTTTTTATTGCTTTGACACAAAATGCTTAACATTCCTGAACGCACCACTCAATTAAATGTATCATTCTAAATAGAATTATACATGGACTGCACTGTAATGGTGCCACTTTTAGGTCATTGTGTTTTGACTGCCAAGGTGCTGTAATTGGAAGAAAGCTAGTTTTGCTGTTAATAAAATGATGGATTTTGAGCCACGCTTTCAATGTTTTAGCTATTTTGCTATGGGATTAGGTAAGTGTTATGCCAAGCTGGGACTTGTCTCACTGCCAAGTCCTGAAAAATGCCAACACAGGCAAAATTATTTTTATTTTAATATACTTCAATATCATCAATATTTATGTGGTTGAAATTGTGTTGTTTTGTTTGTGCTCCCTACCACTTGTTTTCATCATTGTCCTATACACTCCCCAGCCACTTTATTAGGTACACCTGTACAATTGTATGCACTTCAATGCAACACTTCTATCTTAACATCTGTGTTTATGAAGCTCAGAATGTTACAGTTTTGGTGAACTTGTCATAAATGTATACATTCAATTTATATGTCTATTATTGAGGTCATAAGTAAAGGTTGTGTTGTACTGGACTACATTATATTCAGAGGTGCCTCTATTTTTGTCCTCCCCAGCTACATGCATGAGAGGGCCAGAATATTAGGAACACCTCAGTGGTGATACAGGGGTAGCTGTGGCTCAGCAGGCAGTGCGGGTCATCCCCTAACCATAGGGTTATTGGTTCAGTGCTGAACTTCTCCAGTTCACGTGTCCTTGAGCAAAACACTAAAGTCCTATCTGCTCCCAGTGATGTCACCGGTGTGCAAATGGGTGATTGAGAAATAGTGTAAAGTGCTTTGAGTCAGCATCATTGGTGAGAAAAGTGCTATATAAGTACAAAGATGTTTCTTCACAGTGTAGATACTGATGATCCTAATTAACTAAAATAATGCAAGCAAAATAAATAAGAGTTGTACGGACTGATGGTTAAGCAAGGCCAGTACTGGGAACATTTACCCTGACACGGTGAAATAACCGAAGTAATGTTTAATTAAAGGCTCATCTACTGTATGCCTAAAAATTTCAAGACACGTTAATGTGAATTTAAAGTGAAAAAGCAAAACCATGCTCATGTTTTCATCAGACATTAAAAAGACATTCAGCAGCTATTTTCCCACTCCTGTGAAATTGGCTGCTAGTGGGCTGCTCTGAGTGCTAATGATGCAATAATTTTCAGCAACAAAAACCACATGACCCAGGTTTTATTGGCAAAGATATGGTCAAAAGCACTGGAAAGTGCTGACAACAACACTGTTCATAATTGTTTGGCCAGCCTGCAGTGCTGTGCTGTGATGGTTACTGGGCTTCTGGGGATAAAGGAGTTCAGTTTACTTTCAAATAGGTGTGAAACAGTACAGAAAATTGCATTGTTTTATTTGTCAGAAATTAAAGTGACTACAAAAAGGAGCTCACAAGGAAGGCTGTGCATGTGCTCTGTGTGTGTGTGCAGAGTTATTGACACACTGCCATTCACTGAGAGCAATCCTACTATCTTCTGTGACTGCCTCTTGCTCTTCCTGTGGTTTCAAACACATAAAAGTGGGACTAGTTACCCTGCAGAGTATCTTACTAGCAAGGTCACATGTTCTCTTTTCCCCTCTTGTTATCCCATTTCATTTTGGCCATTTTGTCACTTTCTGCAGCATAGTAATCCTTCTCTTGCTCTCTCTCACTTTCCCACAGTCAGTAGCCTCGGGGCTTGTCTCTCCTTTCTTGTGTCGGTTTTTTCCTCATATCTTACGTAAGTCGAGTCTATTTCTCCTGTCCTCTGTGGACTCTCCTCTGACAGTTGTGAAATGGCACAGGGGAATTTCAGAGGAGGAAGAAGGACTCAAAACTCTAACTGCTTCATTATGGCTCATCTACTAGGGAATTAACGAGAAAATGGAGAGCAGAGGCTCCCCTTGAAATGAACACCTCCAGGAAGATTGTCTGCCTGTGTGGCATGTAGGAAGGCAGCCAGCCTGAGCTCACGACTGCTGACAACACAAAAGAAGCTAAAGGATAAATGAATCATTTGGCAGTAGGAGAGACAATAAGAATGTTAGTAAGAGAGGAGACTTTTCATGTAAAAAAAAAAACTGCTTAACTGCACCCAGGAGCTGCTAAATAAAATGCCACTTGTAGGTCAAGTCCAACAGTAAAAGACATTATTTAAAGACAGGCATAATCTTTGTTGTTCTCAGGATGAATGGCCTCTTTGATATCACTTATGACTGTTGGATCAGAGGTGCTGATTGTGTGTTGAAAAGAGGACAGTGGTTGCTGTAATTACCTTGCCAAAGCTGCCTTTGCCCAGTACCATGAGGAAGTTGAAGTCCTGGATGCCCACTTTGACTTTGCCAGTGCCTGGGTTGTGAACAGGTGGACCGGATGGGATGAGGGTTGGGGACAGGGCCACAGAGAATGGTTCAGACAGCGGGGCCGGTATTGCCTGAGGCAAAGAGGGTGTTGTAGCATCTGGCTGAGGCTCCTGGAGAGTTGCAGTGGGAAGGCTGAGAGTTCAATGACTGAATGCCACACAGACATATAAAACATGAACAGCAAACAAACCAGGCTAGTTTCTACCCCTAGACTTGTAGTACACTCAGGCAGAACAATCCTGCACCCTGGTGGACACAGAAAGTAACAGACGAGGGAGCAGACTCAGTGTAATTTATTATCTAATTATCTCACTACAACAATGGATATAAATCCTCATGTTTTTTCCTCACATAGAATTGTACACATAGGGACAGTTCAAGAGCCTGACCCAGTGTGAGCAGTGGCAGCTGCTGTTTATAAAATATAGATAATTTTAAAAAGTCATAAAGGAAATGCCAAGATCTTAGGATAAATGGTCATTAGCATGGTAAAACATAAAGAGCTACACCACTCTCTGGTGAATATGAGTATAAATGCCTTCTGGTCACCATGAGGACCACACTGGAGTAGTTTCGTACCTGCAGGTCTGGGTCTGGCACAGGGATGTTGTAGTACTCTCCTTCATCTTGGGCCAGCAGTTTGAACCAGCCGCTGATAGGACGCCTGAAGATCTCACTGACTCCAAATGACAGCGCTCCCATGAAATCATTCCTAGACGTGCGGTCCCAGTCCCATACCTCCACAGACAGTCGTCTGTCCCACTGGTGTCCACGCACCGAGCTGAAGAGACAAGCATAAAAAGTCAAAATCACTGACTTGACTTAGTGTAGAGGCAATATACCAAGACACAGTAGGAAATTAGTTTTGTCCCTAATGTCATTTTTCAGATTTAGGGCATTTTCTGAATATCTTAATTTCAATGAATGACAGAAAAATAAAGACATAAAGGCAGTAAAGGAGAAAACTGTTGATGTACAATATGCTACAAATGTTCAAGGGCCATGAGCCTTAAAACCTGTACTCTGCTCTTATGTTCCACTTCCTGGTTTTCATTTTTCAGGGTCATTTTGGACCCAGCTATTTCAGTTTCTGGGACATTTCATTTTATCCAAGGACATTCTGTCCTAAATCTTACACCTCAGATTAAAGTTCACAGTGACTCACAAGGTAAAACTTTCATTCCAGACAGGATTGAGTGTGGAGCGGATGGTCTTGGTCTTTTGTTTGCTGTGGCTCTTTGGGTCTGGAATCAGTTTAAGTTTCACATAAGGGTCTGACAGTCCGTTAGGATCCATGGGCATCAGGTTACGTGCCTCCCGCACTGAAGTGAAAGTAGAATAATAGAACATACAGAGAGAAACCCTTCATTACACTCGGTGCAATCTTGGTTTTTGTATTAAAATGCCACTTCCTAGTCTCTCGCCTGTGACAAAGATGTCCTCCTTCTCTCCTCTGATGGTCAGGTGGATTCTTCCTCTCTTCTCTGTGTGGTCCTGCCCGCAGAGACTGGGAACACTGGTCTCACACCGTCGATGGACGTTCATATCACAACCTCAAAGATACACGTACATAAGTTTGAATAAACACATGTATCAGTAGCAAAAAGAGAAATTAAAACATTTCTGTATTTACAGTGTTAGCAGGAAACCTGAATGCCTAACCTCAACCTTGCTCCCAACCTTAAAAGAAAACTTCTTTATTTTGGGTATATACGTACATTTATTGTCTTGTCAAGAGTTAGATAAGAAGACTGATACCGCTGCCATGTCTCTCTTCTTTCTCTAAGTTTACAGCCAGCAGCTGCTTAGCTTAGCATAACATTAACACTGGAAGCAGCAGGAAACATCTAACCTATCTTTCCCTGCTGTTAACAAAAGCACCTCTGCCACATACTGATCCATATATTATACCTTGTTTGCTTAACATATACAAAAACTTGAGGGTAAAAATATCAGCTTATTGTTTTACAGGGTGGACTATTTCTGGTTGGGTGTAGTATTTTCCTGCAGTCACAGCAGGATGGCAATCTCATCAGCAAAAATGTGAATATATATATTTCTCAAAATATGAAACAATTTCTTTAACCTAACTATAAACATAGAATTAACTGAGCCCACTCTAAATTTTGGATGCTGATTTTGTTGGGAACAGCTGTTTTCTCTGGGAGATGAGTCCAAATATGTGCAGACAGATGTTATACATGGCAAAACTCACTGGCACATTTCATGCCCTGGTGTATGAGGCCATACAGCAGCGAGCCACAGTGGTCACAGAAGGTCGGACTGGCGTACGTGTGGATCTTAAATGTGTGTCGACTCTTCAGGTCCTGAAATACAACCCAAAAAAATCTGCATTGAGAACAGTACTCTGCTTCATCTCACCATCCAAAGACATGAAGTTTAGATTGGTTGAAGACTCTAAATTGTCCATAGGCGTGAGAGTGGGTGTGTGCAGTTGTCTGTCGCTAAATGTCAGCCCTATGATAGACTGGTGACCTGTCCAGGGTGTCCTCCACCTCTCGTCCAATGACAGCTGGGATCGGCTCCAGACCCCCATGACCCCCTTCAGGATAAGTGGATGGATGGATGGAGTACTCACACAGACACACACACACACACACACACACAGTGACTATGGAAGAGGCCGAGAACACACACATTTAGACTTATATATAGAGGATGATTAGTGGGGAGATGCTGAGTAGAGTATTCATGGACAAGCTAATTAAATTTCTCCACTGGGAGTGGACATATAAATGAGAGTTGCATCTAGACAAGACTCTGTGTGTGTGTATGAGTGCATATATATACCATGCAGAGTGGGATGAATCATGTTTATCTCTCTTGAGTTCATCAGAGCCCCCACCCCACCACCACCACCATTCTCCATGCACCAACCATACTGTTTTTCCATCCTCGTCGCTCTGAGCTGCTATATAAAACACTGTCACACTCTTTTTCTTTTTGCTGCTGTCTATGTGTGTGTGTGTTTTCCTTTCATTCTCTCATCCTTTTTCACTCAAACACACACACGTTTCCCTTGACCTCATTTCTCAGGCTGTTTATTTGGCTGGGAGGAAATAAAATCATGAAGAAAAGAGAATTTTCTCTAAAATTCCAAATGCAACACAGAGGAAGAAGTGGTATGTATGTCCCCACTCTCGTTCTCCAACCCCCTGCATCTTCAAAGCCTTGTAGGATGGCATGAAAAGTGCAGATGTCACAGATGGGACAAGGCTGCATGATGTGAAGGATGTATAGATCAATGGATGAGTCATGCACACGTGCTACAGGAAATAGGCAAACAGCTAAACGATAATGGAGTAAATGATGGGGTAAATATTGACTAAAATGAAAAACAGGAAACTAAGCATGAAACGCGTTATGATGAAGGATATGCTGACACATCTGCTCACATCTGGTCTGGGGGCCGTCACAGAGCCAGGACAAGTGAAGGTCACAAACTCGTGACATCTCTTGTGGACCACAAAACTGCAAACTAGAGGGAACATAGAGAAAAATCTCCTCAGAAGTAAAAGTCACACTGAAAAAAAAACATCTTTGAAGATTAAGTTCTGCAGATTAAGACAATAGCACAAGGTTTATCTCTACCTTGACATTGAAATCCCTGTTTGCCAATGCCCCTGTGTGAAAAAAACAAATGAATTAAGACACAAAAACAATCTTCTCTACTCTGCTGTAAGGTGAAATATTTAGCTTCTGAGACTTTCTCAGCCAAGAAAATATAGATAATGCAGCCAAAACAGATATAGTGCTATTTCATTATGCCATGCTGAATTTAGACCCCAACATACTGAGCATGCAGGAACAAGATGAGAACAAACAGTGTCTCACCACTAGCTGTGTTAGAGACTACAAATGTGATAAACAAAGTCATTATCCTTTTTAAACCACACTGCTGACTAGGTCAAGTACTGCCAGTTACTGTCACACACACCCACGCACACACACATTCTCCTGTTGCTAGACCTGCGGTGTTAGCTAGTTTCCAGTGTCCCCTTAAAGCTTTAATTGAATAATTAAAGCAATTGATTGGCTGAGGAGTCCAGTCAGCGGGTTGCCTGCTGTGAATCGAGGCTTAGAAAGACAGAAGAACAAGACACTGCAGAGAGCTCCGCCACAGTCATACTGGAGAAGCCCAGGGGGTCATAGGAAACTGACCATATTAACTGATTTACAATCAGATGACCAGCTGTCTTAGTAATAATTAAAGAATGTAATGTGATCCTTGATCAGCATTCAACAGAAGTCTCTATGTGCAGCCTTAATTGTATGAGGCCAGTTTTGCTTTTTGACCAGCAGAGAGCATTAGACAACCAGATATGGATTTGGGGAGAACTGACAGCATTGCTTACTGGCCAGACTTCACAAGGAATTCAGTGCAGTGGATAACTGCATCTTAAATGCAAACTGTTGCCATGAAATGCATCTGGAAAATGGTGTTAAGGGAATACTCAAAAACATTCTTGAATATGTAGTGTAAACTAAAAATTACTAAAATTTTATTACGAGTTAAATAATATATGTGAAAACAGAAAAATCAGGACTTTGTAGTTGTAACAGGCTTGTTTCGGAGTTGACATGTTGACATGTCATAGTAGGAAAAAGCATAAATGTAAATAAATCCATGTAGCTCAGTCACATTGTCATGAAGAACTGCAGCACTTGAATGTAATAGGGGTATGGTTAATGTTGCTAGTAATGCCTGTTCCTAAATTAAATGTCTGCTGTGAAAAAACCCTTTTGGGTCTGTCCTCAGATCTTATATGAAGTATACCAATCTATAATCTTTATTCAGTTATTTTCTGTCTTACAGTGAATGTTTTGGACTTTCGACCCTGGTTACTGAGTGCAACTACACATAAAATTGGACTGTGACACCAGGCAATGTCACCTATTTCCTTTTCAAACTATTTCACTCATTTCACACCTGAAGGAGTCATATAGGGTATAACCATTTCTCTTTTGGAGCTTGACATTCTGGGGAAAAAAAGATATTTACTGTGTATTTTTAAAATTAGAACAGCATTTTCTTAGTCCATAATTAATCTACCAATCCCCACAGGGGTTTTAGACACCCAGGTTGAGAACTGTTGTCTGTTTGTAAGAAAGGAGTTTTCACCCTGAACTAAATGTTGCAACCACAGCCAAGGCAGCATCCAGTTGGAGAAATGTCCTGAAAGCTACCCAGAAGCTGCTGGCACATTCACCGCCCTGCATCAGATATGAACGCCCTCACCATATGGCCAAACGCACACATATTCAGACAACCATTCACGTTCACGACTCACACACACTGACATGAACAGAAGACAGTTTTGCACAAATAGCAATAAGCCAGCCAGAGGTAAATTTATGAAATAAAGTACATTTGCTCATGTACTTGAGTACGTTTTAAGATTCTTTATGTGACTATTTAAAAATGTTTTTGAAGGTTTATACTGCCTCCCCATTATTTTTATCAGGAAAATGTTAGTTTTCTCTTTTACATGTGTCTGTAGATGCTAACAAACTAATTCATACTGCATCTTTGCAAAGCCCAAAACTATTCCATTTATTGTACTGTAAAACCAACAAATCTGTAAATTCTCATATCAAATGTTTGCAATATTGGTATAAAATGACTTAAACAGTTAATTGTTTTAAAGTGGTTGTTGTTTTAGTTAAAATCTAAATTCCAACAGAATTATTACTGTTGAGTTAATGTTTACTTATTTCTCTATATCTACATCCCCAAATCTACACTATAGTAATTAGGTCATTTTTAATGCAGGACTTTCTAATATTTTCTGATGAAGCAATTTTCATGTTCATCATGTGGCATTGTTACTTTAAAGGGGTCCTGCACCTCTACGTGAAGTTCAGTTTACTTGCTATGAGGAGAACTACACAGCCTGTGAAACAGTTCTATAATGTCTTTTGTCACTCTGGAGGACTTTAACAAAGTCTGGAAAAAATTATTTTGAGATTAAAGAGAAGGCTTGCATTGCAAACTCCTGATTCTGAAACTGATGGCATTCCCCTTTAAGATTTGAATCACAAGTGGAAACCTATGCTGCCTGTGAGTTTGTGTTTTTGCATGTACTGTAACTCTGTGTGCAAGCATCCATACTGGAATAAATTGCATCCTAAATGAGCTCTTGATTTTGTGTGTACTGCATGTGTGGGCAGCGGTGTGGAGGTGAGGTTATGTGATCTGTCAGGTCAGTGAGGTGGCTAGTGTAGGCTGTTTCTCCAGGAGGCAACTGGGTCTAGTGAAAGAGACAAAGAAGTGCAGAGAAAGTCAGAGTCTGGTGGAGTAGTTGGATGCCTAAGGAGGTGGCTTATGAGCTGTTTGGGTGGCTCCTGTGTAAATGTGCAGCTGGGTGTGCATTTGTGTGTGTGTTACCAGATGAAGTCAGTGCAGTGGCTGCAGAAGGTGGGCTGCTTGAAGAAGCGGGCTGTGAACTGATGATCTTTCACCTCAACAATCCTCTTGTGTTTCAGTGCTCCCCTCCTCTGAAAGACGGGCACCCTAGGTGGAGGGGAGAGGGGCGAGGGCAGAGGAGAAGCACCAGAGGAGGTTGTCGATGCAGGGGAGGCCAGCGTCAGTGGGGAGAGAGAGGGGGAAGGGGAGACCGGGGTAGACATGATGCCTGAAGGATACAGTAGAGAGGAGCAGAATAAGGTAAGGAGGGCATGTATGATGAGTGTCAGTGGGTTTTACAGGTGAATGGCCTCGAGCACGAGAGAAGAAGAAGAGGAGGAAGCAAGGACACGGTGGGGGAGCAGGAGGAGGAGCAGGATGGATGGAAAGTGCAATGGGTTATGGTAGAGACAGGAGTTGCATTAATGGCACAGGGGATGTAGGGTAAGGAGCAGTAAAGCAGTGATGTAATGGAGAGAAAAATCCAGAAAGGATGAGGAGCCAAGAAGTGCAGAAGAAAATGAAGGGAGCACAAGAAAAACAACAGGTATGAGAGTGGAAGAGAAAAGACAGGAATAATGAATAAGACAATGAGATTAATTCACATACAGAAACAGAACTGCCCTCAGAGACCCTGATACACTGAACAATTAGCGCAGCTCACTGAGTGCCCCACATACTGCCTGTCCACTGTAGCTACATTGTCCTCACTCTGTATCCCCTATACCTCCATCTCCCTAGCAGCAATGGCTGCTCCCCACAACTCCCCATCTCCTGATCGTCAAGTCAACTATACCTCCTGTCACCATGTCAACAACACGCTCACCACCTGCTCCAAGATTAGAGCCTGTTTCCTTTCTCAACTTCCTGCCTGCCCTTAACAGCAACTAGTCTCATCTCTGAAGAAACGTTTGAACCAGAATAATGTATGTCTATAGGGAATGCAATGTGCTGGAAAAACGGCAACATTAGTCAAAGCGATTGTGGTCCAAGAGTTGCATGCTGCTAACTGATAAATGAAACACCAACAGAAATATAATGAATAAACAAATAAGCCCACAGCAAGAACCCATGTCAGAAAAAAGGTGACGAAATGATGGTGTCTTAGCAAAGAAACATGAGCAAATCAGTCACAGTGGTGAAAGAGAAGACTAGTTGGAAAAAATATTACAGTACTTAGAAATTAATAAAATAAGGACAAGAAGAAAAATGAGATCTAAAAATGTTCACTGACCCATACCGCAAAAATAGTAAAGTCACAATACCTAAATGAGTTGTAGGCTCAACTGAAGGTCGGCTTTCTTCTCCTTCTCTCACCCTCTCTTCTCCTATGGCTCACTTCAGGAAAGAGCCTAAGGTGTCACACCTGTAACTGGTCACTTCAAAAAAAAAAAGACAGATAGGAAAGACAAAATACAGCAGTACTGCAGCAAGTGGAGAAAGAGCAACCCCCCCCAAAAAAGAAAAGCTGTAGAAATAAAAAGCAAAAGCAACAAGCTTTGTGAGAAATTCAAGCTTTCTAGGAATCAAAGATAGAAAAATGAAGTGGTCCTGTATCCATTAACCCAGAGGCAGGGTGAGGAGGAGGACGAGATAAAGAGGTGGTATTCTCTTTCCAAGATTGATTCTGTTTCTACTAAGAAGAGGACGAGAGATGGAGAGAGAGAGAGAGGGAAAGACAGAGGAACAGGACGAGAGAGGGGAATAGGCGGCGATTCATTTTGAAATCTGGGTTACTTCTCTCAGGAGAGGGTGAGGGAGGTAGAGGAAGGAGGGTGGATGAGACAGAAGCTGCCATTTTGCCACTACCAACACAGTAGGGACAAGCAAGTGCCAACTGTCTCTCACTTCCTCCTGTGCCAGATGAAGAGAGGAAAGAGAGAGGACAGAGAATATCCAGGCTTGAAGAGAAGAGCAGAGAGCTTCAGTGGTGGAAACTCCAAGAAATGGCTAGTTATACATAGCTAAACCTGGAAATAAACTGTTAAAAGTCATGGAGTTTGCAGTGCAGCCAGATGACTGAAGGATCAAACAGGCCTGTGACATAAACAGCCCTGTTAATATATTCTGCAAGAGTGCAGTTACAGGATGTTCACTTGTTCTGAGATCAGAGCAAGTAGTGGCATGATAGCACTGCTTTGCTGTGCACTGAAACCAGGTCAGCTAAGCCTGATGGGAAGAGCAGTTCTACTATTGACTTACATTCACTTAACATGTACAAACTAAGCTTTAGAGGAAAGGTCTGACATTTTTGGAGACATGCCCATTTGCTTTCCATGTCAAGACAATAGATGAGAAGATCAATACCACTCTCGTTTTTGGTAAATATGTTGTGTGAGTCAGCAACTGGTTAGCTTAGCATAAACACTGAAAACAAGGAGAAACAACTGGCCTGTCCAAAATCTACTTATCAGCAGCTCTAAAGATTAGAGATTACGCAACAGGTAATGTGACACTATACATGTAACACTACGCAACAGTACACTAATAGGACACAGCAAACAGCCCCAGTGTAATAATTTGTTAAAAAAACAACAACAACAAAAAAAAAAAACACTGTACATATCTAAACCCATTTTTTTTACACATTGCTGTTCTTGTCAAGAATTGTTTTTAATTTAAATACACCCACTTTTTTCTGGTTAACTTACAAAGGCACATTGAAAGCCATTGCACTGGAGTCAGATTGCTTGTGTGTTCAGTGTTCTTGGCAAATAAATAAAGATGGTTGTGATTTTGATTGTGTGTCTTTTAATCTGTGCATCATGCTAAGGCAAACAATAAACCAATAATAATAATATTCATCACATTCTTGGTGAGAAAACAAATAATTTCAAAACACTGCTTAAATCCTATAACTCAGTGGATCCAGTCCCCAGATGGGATTCACTGCTTGAACAATTGTTTGTCCTTGCAATGTGAGTAACAATAGTTCTCACACAGACAATTAGTCACACTCCATGTGTGCACATGGTCTGTGAATGGTCCTGGGGAGGACAGCACCAGGTGGGAGCAGAGATGTAGGCAGGCGGGATACAGAGGGGTGGACTGGAGAGGGATGGAGAGACTGAAAGAGGGAGTGAAGGGTTGAAGATCGAATTAATGAAAATGTAGGTTATTAGTCTCCTGATGAGGACACTGGAAGAGAATTAATTAACAATTATAATTAGCAAGATTGTTAGAGAGCAAAATGGTGTCAACCAGCAAGATAAGAATGAGCTAGCGTGCAGACTATAAGTGTCTGTGAGCTGGAGGTTGTCAGTATTATTATAACTATGTGAACATGCCTCATCTGACAATGATACATGGCATTTCAGCATTAGTCATGCAGAATCAGCAGCTGATTGGAAATGATAGGGGGCTTTCCCTCACACACACCCTGACCAGACCTTTCTATATAGAAAACTGCCACTACTGTCTTGCCCATAAGACTCACACTCGTCAGAATTGTTATCATGGATGAGTCATGTTCTTGTTCAGCTGCCGTAAATAAATGAGGAAATGTCCTTGCACTCTAAAAGAGAGAGTAGCACTCTTGTGCATTGAAAAACAAAGCACATAAATGGTTCGCAATGCTTCCGGTCCATGCGGTGTGATGAATAAACAATTGTGGCTGTGAAGTGCCTGCATCAGTGTACGTTTGAATGCCAACCGGAGCAGGTTTTACAACGCTTGATCCCAGGCCATAAAAGTGAGCTGGTGTGTTACCATCCTGTGATACATTAAGCCTGTAAACCTAGAGGACATACCCGCACACCAAAATAAAAAATAAAAAAATCACAGAGGTACACCTTGCATGATTTGAGAGGGAAATACCATAAAACACTGGTAGAAGAGAAAATGAAAGAAACAGGTGACATGTGGCAAGGAAAAAAGAAAAATGAAATTAAATTGAAGAAGAGGACATCCCCAAAACCACAACCTGCCTCTTACTTATTGCTATCTTTACAATTATTGTTACCACATGAGAGTACTGGAAAGCTGTTGCCACCATTTCAGATCCATACCTTCATACCCCATCCTCTCTCTCAGATGGCTATATTATTATTTCTGACCATGGCTTAATGAAACAGAAAATTCTCCTCAGATGGAATCTTTTTTTGGGGGAGCAATCAGCACTTCACCAATTACACGCATCCATTACCATCTAACTAGCGCTCACTTGCATCAAGCACCAGCTTCAACTTGACTGGCTGGCTGGCTGACCAGTTTTCTACTCCAATGAAATTAAGGTAAATTGACTTGCCTAACTGTTGTTTGTGGAATCAAGGGAGAATGGGTGTCTGAGGTAATCATATCTGCCTGGTAAATCCGTCTCTTCAGAATCAACTGACTCTGTTTGTTACTACTGGTTTTCTGTTGGAGTGTGTGTCTATTTGCTTTTTTTTTTTAATGAAGAGTGGTCCACTGTGTTTTTGGAGGAGAGAAACAAACTTTGCCAGTCAGATGAGACAACTGGCAGGCGATGAGGGCTTGTCAACATGGTTTACAAATTCTCAGTGCTGAAGCAAATAAGCCTGATCTCCATATTTATTTTACCGCTGACCTGTTTGTCATTGCAACAACAAATACTGCTAAAATGGAAAGTATCATGGAAAAATTACAGAAATTTGGGTAAATGAATTCATTATGATTAGACCAATATTTCTTTCTTTCTTTTTTTTTACTGCTTGCCTGTCATTTTAGTTTCCAGCTGAATTTATTTATATACTATGTAGAGGAAATTATAATGTCTACTCTTTGCCTGTATAACCTGGCACACTGAAAAGGATATGATTTATAAATGTGTTAGTCTGTTTA